TAGACCTAACTATCTCTTTATCTCTTAAGTGTGGACATCTGCTATGCCTAGAACAATGCTTGGCCTCCCTCAGTCCTCAGCTCCCTACCAAGTTCTGAATGTCTGTTGCAATAGTACCTTCGCTACCGTTTCGCTATTGGGAGTGCATGCGCGCGATAGCTTTGCAGAGTGTCCGTGATGACGTCCAGGCGGGTGGCCAGAGCCTCCCACCGCCATCGCTACCTGTTCGCCTGAACAGGGACGAACCGGTAGCAATCCATCACTGGTCTGTTGCCCATCTGGAATATAGGTTCTTTGAGAAGAGTAATTATCAGCTCTCAGGAAAATGCTGTAGAGAGGAAGGGAAACCATGATACACTGTAGTTCAGATCTACAAAAGAAGAAAAAAAGCTTGTTTAATGGGTTCTTGGTGTGATTACTTACACATAACTTTACTCTCCACTGCTCTCTAAACATAGATAATCGCCATGGCAACTCTTGTATTTCAAGTCGCTTCCATTTGGGCTCACATCTTTCTTAAAGAAGTCCAAAGCCCAGCAGTGTGAGCTTACTCTTGTAAATCATTTTTGAGTGGACTCTTTTATTATTTATTGTTAGATCACCATCAGAATTTAACAGAGAATGGAAGGCATGAAAAAAAAAGGGGGATTCTTTTTCCCCTGCTCCTCAGAAAAATATTTTTAGATGTTTAGGCATATTTATTTGACACGTTTTAAAACAAAAAAACAACATTGGATGTAATTCCTAACTTGGGTACAAAATAACTGCCGTTTCCCTAATGCATGCTACAAATTCCTCAGAGAGAGAGGAAAAATATTAAGAACAGCCTGGTCTACTTACACCACACAATTAAGTGGGTAATGGAGGAAGGGTTTTGTTGTATACTACAAAACCCAATTGATTGGCCACTGAATTAGCTCTGAAGGGTTCCCCCCTGGGGATGGGACTAAACCAGCCTCTCCTGGTCCATTCATTATCCCCCTCTATCCAAACTACTTACTGGATTAGATCGAAATTCTAGGGAGGTCCAGCGTAAAGCAGAATGTCTCCAGACCACCCATTTTGACCCAAACTCTAGGGTGAAAAAAAGGTGCAGAAATAATAACAACATTATATTTATGTTATATAGATAAATTATAACAAAATATAGTTAAAATAGTTTTTAAAATGTGTGTAACAAGCTATCATTGGCCGAGAAACTAAGATTATTGTTGCTATTAGTGCTATTGTGTAGTGATTCTCTTTCTCCTCTCCCTTAATTCTAATGATGCATAAACACCAATCCTGACTATTTTACAACCCACTTTTCCAAATCAATGGCTTTGTGGTTACCTAGATCCAGGCCAGGCCTTGAAGGTTTCTGGCATCTGTCCTATATTTAATGCAATTGAACTCCTGGCAGTGAGCTGAATTAATCTGCAATACTGCATTCGAACCACTGCACAGTGGTTAGAGTGCAGAATTGCAGGGTAATTCACTACTCACTGTCATGAGTTTGATTCTGACGGGATCAAAGTTGACTCAGCCTTCCATCCTTCCAAGGTTGGTAAAATGAGGACCCAGATTGTTGGGGGCAATGTGCTGACTCTGTAAACATCTTAGAGAGAGCTGTAAAACACTATGAAGTGGTATATAAGTCTAAGTGCTTTTGCTATTGCTTGATTATGTGCCAATTGTGCCATCAAGTCAATGCTAACTCTTAACAATCACAGATAGATCTTCTATATGATAACCTGTCCCTAAGCCAGTCTTTTAGGTGCACTCATCACCACTGAAACTGAATCCATCAATTTGGGATTGATGGAAAAGATAATCCTTTTTTCTTTCCTTCTACCTTTCCTAACATTAGAACTTCTCCAGAGAGTTAGATCTTTGCCTAATGATCGCATGGTATTTCTCCCATGATAGGCTCCATGTCCCATCATTTTTCTCATCAAAACTCAGAACTCTTTTTGGCTTCCTCATTAGGAAAGCAACTTAGTTGTTTATGTTTGGGTAGGTTAGTAGATACAGTACAGGTAATTCTCGACTTATGATCAGTCATTTAGAGACTGTTTGACGTTATGACGGACCTGTAACAGAATACTTATGACCTGGTTTCAAAGTTCCCATATTGCCCCCACCCCCCCATGGTCACATGACCACATTTCAGACTTTTAGCAGCCGGCCAACATTTATGGCCATTTGAAGCATCCTGCAGTCCTGTGACTGCATTTTACAACAGTTTTGTGAGAGACCAGCATTTTTGGCAATACTGCCCATAGCAAACCATTGACCATGATTTTCACTTAACAACCATCACAAAAAAGTTGCAAAAAAATTTGTTTTATGGCTATCACAAGTTGTGACCATTATGGGCAGGCTCTATTAAAGACTACTTGTAGTAATTAGGAGACCTAATCTCCTAAAGTCTGTGCTGACCAATAGGCCCCCATCTTCACCCAAATCTTCAATAAGTTGCTAGATATGTGCTATGTTCTTTCTTGCTTCAAATGCTCTACTATCATCCCAGTGCTGAAGAAGCTCACCATCAAGGAACTGAATGACTACAGTCCAGTTGCTCTAACATCTGTAGTTATGAAAACCTTTGAAAGGCTAGTGCTGTCCCACTTGAAAACCATCACAGATCCGCTGCTAGACCCCCTGCAATTTGCATACTGGGCAAATAGATCAACAGATGATGTTGTTAATATGGCTCTGCACTATATCCTACAACATCTTGAATCTCCAAAGACCTACGCAAGGGCCCTCTTTGTAGACTTTAGTTCAGCATTCAACACCATCATTCCAGACATTCTTCTAACTAAGCTAAACCAGCTAGCGGTATCTGAAGACACTTGTAAGTGGATCATAAGCTTCCTAACAGACAGGAAGCAGCAGGTGAAGCTAAGCAGAATCACATCCGACACCTGTACAATTAGCACAGCCCCCCCTCCCAAGGCTGTGTGCTCTCTCCATTTCTCTTCTCTCTATATACCAATGACTGCATCTCAAACTATCCATCTGTTAAACTACTGAAGTTCGCAGATGACACAACAGTGATCGGTCTCATTTGAGACAATGATGAATCCGCATACAGATGGGAGGTTGAACAGCTAGCCTCGTGGTGCGACCAGAACAATCTGGAACTGAACACACTCAAAACCGTAAAAATGGTGGTAGACTTTAGGAGAAACCCTCCCATACTACCATCTCTTACAATACTAGACAACACAGTATCAACAGTAGAGACCTTCAAATTTCTAGATTCTACCATATCTCAAGACCTAAAATGGAACCTAACATCAAAAAGTCATCAAAAAAGCACAACAAAGAATGTTCTTTCTGCGTCAACTCAGAAAGCTTAAACTGCCCAAGGAGCTGCTGACACAGTTCTACAGAGGAATTATTGAGTCTGTCATCTGCACCTCTATAACTGTCTGGTTTGGTTCTGCAACCCAACAAGACAGACACAGACTTCAGAGGATAATTAGAACTGCAGAAAAAACAATTGCTACCAACCTGCCTTCAATTGAGGACCTCTATATTGCACAAGTCAAAAAGAGGGCTGTAAAAATATTTACAGACCCCTCGCATCCTCTTTCAACTCCTACCCTTAACACGACATTATAGAGCACTGCACATCATAACAACTAGATACAAGATCAGTTTTTTCCCGAACGCCATCATTCTGCTAAACAAATAATTCCCTCAACACTGTCAAACTATTTACTAAGTCTGCACTACTATTAATCTTGTCATCGTTCCTATCACCCATCTCCTCCCACTTATGACTGTATGACTGTAACCTTGTTGCTGGTATCCTTATGATTTATATTGACTGTTTCCTAATATGATTTGATTGCTTATTTGTACCCTATGACTATCATTAAGTGTTGTACCTTATGATTCTTGACGAATGTATCTTTTCTTTTATCTACACTGAGAGCATATGCATCAAGACAAATTCCTTGTGTGTCCAATCACACTTGGCCAATAAAGAATTCTATTCTATTCTATTCTAATCCACCATTGGCAGTAGCCCTTCCAACATGCTCTCTGGCATCAGCTTCTGGTCGAAAAGGGTATCACTAGCTTGCCCTATTATGATACTCAAAACTAGGGCATTTAGAGTGAGCAAGTGTTGCAGACTGCCTAATGTTTTACAAGAATATGCTTCTATTATGTTATTTATATTCTAAATTGTACTGGATCTGATTGTTGAGGAATTTTGCTGAAAATGATATTAGAAATAATTGCATTCCTTCTAATGATAGTAACTTGTGTTAGCTTCAAATGTAGTTCCTCATCTTTTTTTTAGTGTCAAACTACTATGCATGCAGATGTTTGCGGATGTTACAACAAAATTCATCACTGTAATTTAAATGCAGGATGCAGGAACTAAAGAAAAAATATCTCCCCCACCCCACCTCTTTCTTCTAAACAGAGAATAGTTGGTTAGACATGTCAAAAAATGAAAAGGAAAAATAAGGCAGACAAAAGAAATGGATTTGTGTCTTGGATAAAAAATGCTTATGTTTTCCTTCAGATTAGAGATTTTAATCTCTTTGTTTACAGTTCAGAAATCTTTCTCCAATTTATTCTTGCAGCTTCAGTGATATATTATCAAAGATCTGAGAACTTTTAAGGGAAGATGGCAGGGCAGAATTACTCAAGAATAAATATATCCCCTCTTATTAAGTTGAAATCTATGATCTATGAGGGAGATCCACGTGTTTCATATATTCCATTTTAGTAATTAATACAGCACTTCCAAATTAATATAAGCAATATATTTTATTGAATTAAGATAGATTCTTTCAGAGCATATACAGACATTCCTTTCTTTGTCTCCAAAAATCCACACTGGCTGAGTTTATCACGTAAAACTGGTTTGTTTAAATATAGCTTGTTGAACAAGCCATGGTGGCCTCATTCACATTTCAAGCTAAGCTATAAACTACGGTTTACAAATCGCACTCCCACCATACGTTCATGCATCTTGCTCAGATAAAATTGAAACCACATTATTGGTTAGCATGATATGAGCCATGCTGGTATCATTCCACCAGGGACCATGTGATTGATTGAATTCCTTTCTGCAAGGACAAAAGGGTGTCTGATTAGGGACAGACCAATTCAAACCTGCATGCCATCTTTTAGATCCCACATAAAACTTTGGGACCATAAGGTCCAATATTTTCCTGGACATTAAACGTTCCCACCATATTACCTTCTAATACAGTGTTGGCGAACCTTTTCGGCACTGAATGCCAAAACAGAAGCATGCACAGGGGGTGGGGTTGGGAATACAGGAAACTGGAAGAGCAGTTCCCCAGCGCGCTGAGCTTCCAGTTTCCAGCGTGCGGATGCACGCCAGTCACCTGGTCTTCCAGTTTCTGGTACACATGTGTGCACAAAGTCCAGTTGGCCAGCATGCATGTATGTGCTGGAATCCAGAAGCGCAATGGGCAGTAGCTGGCATGTCCGGAGAGATGGCTCTGTGTGCCACTTCCGGCACGCGTGTCATAGGTTCACCATCACGGTTCTAATATATGCTAACCAGTGCAGCTAGTGTAAATTAATTTCGTCCATTCCTTTGGCTTTAGCATCAGAAAAATTGCCCCCCCCCCAAAAAAAAATCAAATCAAAAGGAAAACAAAGTAAGGCTAGGAGGATGTTACTTGATTAGTTGGAGACTCCAGAGTTGGGGATTCCCACAGAATAGAGTAGGCTACTCTGCCCCTGTATCTTACAACAATTTGGAATGCTTCAGTTGCTGGTTACCAGATACGATGCAATTCAAAACGCAAGACAACAACCAGCTTTAGTTTCACCTCTAAATCCTGGATCCCATAAGGGTGAGTCAGTAAGACATGAAGTTTGTTTTGGATGACATATTATAAATAAGTTGCATGACGTGGGTCTAGCTATGAACATCCTTCTACATTAAGTCTCACTTAAGCCATTGTTCTACAATTTAGCACCTTGCCTTACTGCTTCTGTATCCATTTGGATTAACTCCTTAGTCCTCTTTGTCTCCAACCGAAACATCACTGAAGGACTTGAAGCTAGATTTTCTCTCATTTCGTCTCTAATGCTGTTGTTTATGACCCTCGCCACTCCCTCCCTTATACCTTTATCTCCTCCACTGCTGAAATATTGATTGTAAATTCCTTGGGGAAAGGAATTTCTATCTTTCCTTATCGTGTTATTCTGTAAAGCAGGACTGGAGAATTGTTTTGAGATTGTAAGCCTATACTGAAAGCTGCATAAATGAATATGAATAATAATCATAACAAAGATGAATAAATGAATAAAGTCACGAATTGCTCATTCCTGGTGTGAATTTCTGAACAGTGGAAAATATTAATACCGGTAGAGCTAGGGATCCATTTTTATTCTAGAACTTCATTTGCATCCTGCATCTTTTAAACAAATTGATGAAATAGAACTTTCTAAATTAACATGCAGACCAAAACAATTTTCTTTCAGATTGTGTATGTTTCTAAAATTGTTTTTGAAAGAGTTGTCTACCCCCAATAATTACAAAATGTGTATGTTTTGAAGATGAATATGAAAATATAAAAGTAAATTTTCATACTTTTTCCTTTAATTTCCATATGGACTAAAAATGGGTTGGTTAAGATTTAGGATTAATTGGAACTAGATCAGGAGTAAGCACAACTGAATGCAGAGGGACATTTAATTTACCATATAACAATGGAATATGTAGTGAAATATTTTCATACGGCTAACTATTATATATTATGATTACTGCAATCAGCTTTCTGGAGTCTGGACTGATCCATTTTTTTCTTGAATAGCTTTGGTTTATTTTCATGTTAAATATAAATCACCTTATAGGGGAGATGGATGGCATAAAAATTAAACAAACAAACAAATAATAGCAGTAGCACTTAGACTTATATACTGCTTCATAGTGCATATTGCCTCCAACAATCTGGATCCTCATTTTACCAACCGTGGAAGATTGGAAGGCTGAGTCAATTTTGAGCTGCTCAGGATCAAACTCCTGGCAGTGAGCAGAGTTAGCCTGCAATACTGCATTCTAATCATTGCGCCACCATGGCTCTTAAATAAACTTGTTTCCAGATCCATCTGAAATGCATCTATTGATCTATAAATACTAAATAATATGGAATTGGCTGAAACAAGCAAAGACATTTTCTTCCCCTATATGTATGCCTGGATTTTTTAATCAGGTCGTGACTGGCTAGCACTAGCAAGATAATCTTCCCAGCAGTAGTTCCTAGTTATGAAATGTTCTCTCCGGTGGGATTCACTTGTGCACCATGTAATGATGCTTTTGGTACCAAAAGAAGACTTCCCTGCAGGCTGTTAGCCTTAGAAATAATTGACTAGTTTTTTTTCTCATGGGCAAATCCTAATTTATTTATATTCTTTTCACCTTGGCTTATGCTGTTGTTAATATAGAGATTTTTATCATCTTGATTTTTATCGTAAGCTGTTCAGAGAGCTGAGGTTACTGCTCAGTATGAATGTTGCAAAACAAATACCATATGTTGTGTCACAAATGTACAGTTACACTGCTTAGTCAGTTGCTCTCACAAATTCACGAGACAACTCTGTTTACCTTCTGTAGTTTTGCTTAGACAGAGGAAATTGCTAATGATAAACTGATGAAGCCATATTATCTTTCCAATTATTTAAATGTCTGATATCTTTCCTCTGGATTCTTCTCTGGATCAGGAAATTCTGTTTCACAAAACATAACAAATAATCTCCTGATTATTATTTCCCTTTTGTTTTTACAAGCAGAGTTTCCCTTCCCCTGCGAGTACTAAAAAGGGATTTATCCATGCCTTTGACGGCTGGTACAGATTTATCCACTGGAAGCCACCCACAGTCATTATGTGAGATGTATGGCTAATTCACAATGAATCTATAAATACATTTCATGCTGTTAGTAGCCTAGGGGACCACTATATTTAATTCCCTGGCCTCTATTTAATCTCTCTTTCTGGTCTTTGCTGGTCTTTTATTTTTCCTGATGGACGGAATTGGACTTGGAAACTGTCATTGCAGCAGGTGGAGTTTTCTAATTCTGGGTTTCCAAAGTAGGATCTTCTCCCTGATCAAAAAGGAAGAGGTATGATGCCTCATATGGTTCTTGGGATACCTTTAAGAATCTCAGCTTAAGTCATCAAAAGGATACAAAACTGTATCAATTTTGAAATACTGCATAATTTTATAAAACATTTTATAGCCTCCTCTGAACATATCTTTATAGTCTCCTCAGAACCTATTTTCCAGTTTTCTTTCAATGATGCAATATCTACATGCTTTTATGTATCTCAGTTGTTTGCTCGCATTGGAATATGCAATATGAATAACAGCTGAGAGACGTAATAGTATGCAGAGGCATCAAAAGAAATTAGATACTTATATGGAAGTTTATATGGAAATATGTCCTTAGAACAAAAATGGCACAATAGACTATTGGTAATTTGCTCTAACCAATTATTTTTTTTTCATTCTATACTGATTGAATTATCAAGCTGTTTAGTGATTTGTAGGAACTTTCTCCATCTTAGTAGAGTCACAACTAACCTATCAACCTAAACTGAGAAAAGGTATTTTGAGTTGTGAAGGTCACATAAGCCTATTAAAGTGCTACTTATCCACAAGCATAGATAGATGGATAGAACAATGAAAGTAAAAGCAAACTTTATTGAAGTAGAATATCCCCATTTAGGATTCTAGGCATCAATGAATGAACCATACATTTTCTTTGGCACTTAAATTTTAATTATTCGATGAAAGATAAGAGATGTACTGTAGTACACGGGAGACATTATTTTAATGTTTGGGAATTTAATTCCCAAACATGGCCAACATGTAACCCTACACTAAGTCATCAGATAGTTTCCTAGTGGGAGAGAGAATTCCTCAGATAGTAAGGCTGAAAGCCATTGAGGCCTTTAAAGCAATGGTGGGATGCTGCCGATTTAACAACTGGTTCGATGATCGCATGCCTAATGCGCGCTGTGCGCACGGGTACAGTTTTACAAATGCTAACCTTCTGTGTTACCACTTGGGAGTAACACAGCTGAGGCATGGCAATCCGCTCTGCTGTACCAATCAGATGAGAAGATAAAGGTAACTAAAGCGCAGGGGCGAGCGGGCGGGCGGGCGGGCCGACCTGATCGCCAGAGCAAACCGGTTCACTCCCAGCTGATAGTTGGAGCTACCGGTTCTCTTGAACCAGTCCGAACCGGTAGAATCCCATCCCTGCTTTAAAGATTGGTAGAACAGCAATTAGCAATCACCATAGCTCTTTCAGTTTAGATATACGAACTTTGTTCATGCAACAGTCAAAGGGTAACAACAGTTGCTACCCTTTTTGAATTTCTTGGCTGGATGGCCTGGTTGCAGTAATCCTGAAGCCAAATGTGCAGGAAGGAAACAGCTAGCAAGGAATTACCTTCATTCACTTTGGGCAAGTGTCCCTGGCTTGACATATCCTTGGTGTTGTATACAGTAATTCTAAGTCAGAGCACTTATATAGGGAGTCATATCATGTGAGAATATGTTTCCATCTTAGACCACTGTAGGCAGAATACGCAGTTCACCTTCTGGGTATACAGAACTTACATTTTGTTGTATTTAGTAAAAATGAAAATTGGAATTTAAAGAGTTAAAAGATTGAAAAGATGTACCTGCCTGTATTCTAATTTTCAAGAAATCTATGGCAGACTTTCCATTTTTAAAGTGGATTGTCTGAGAAGCAAGCCATTCATTCAGGAAACTGCAGTTTTCCTAACTGAAGCAAATAGTAAGAAGCAATAATACAAGAGTAAAATTGCAAGAGGTTTTGTTTTAAGCAAATTGTGCTTGGAAAGTATGTTGAAGAGATGATAGAACTTTTTATAACCTGTTTTTAAAGCACAAGTGATAAAAGGAGGAGGAAGAAGCACCCACTGACAGCGCCCTTGCAATGTACCAGGTACTCTATCATTTGATACAGCAAAAAAAAGCATCATTTGCAAGCAGATGACTGGGGATGTGAACATAAGGTTAATGCTTTTGAACACGCAGCTGATAAGACTTCAAAACATTGCATGGGTTTTGCTCTCGGATAGAAAACTATTCCAGAAATTTAGAAGATCAGGAGTAAGAGGTAACTTGTTTAAAGTGAGATTTGACAGCCCCTGTTATCGTGACTGTTTCCTGAGAAACAGTTTATGGAAGGTGGTTTTACGATGCATTCCTGAAACACCTCCAGATTTCAAATATGCAATATAAACCACCTTATGAAAACTTCAGAACCAGCCTTGATTTATAAATAGTTCCACACCTACTTTAGGTGTAGGGGAATTTTTGAGATCAAGTGGCCACTTAAAGAAACAAACGTAGGGACTTCCTGTTTGCTGCTGGCCGCCGCCAGACGTTCCTTTGGGATCGTCAGCTTCCACTGCCTGTCAGAGCCGCCTTCACAACGGAACGGCGGCTCGAAAAAACTCCGTTCCCATGAGGAAACGGAGATAGAGCCGGCAGGGGTGGGTAGAACTCTCTGCAGAGTCCCAAAAGTTTTTCTTTTACTTTTGGGATGGAGCGGATGAGATGCCCCATATCCCCAGCCGCTGCTCCGGGCTTTGGGAGACCTCTGCTAATGCAGAGCCAGGCGTCAAAAGCAAGCCTGCGAATTTGACAGATTACTCAAAGAAAATGTGAGCTGGACCTGTAATACTGAAGCGCAAGTATTTTACTTATCTTTTAAAAATTACTTAGGAGAATAGAGGAAGAGAAAGAGGAAAAAAGTTTCTTTTTAAAATGGCGTCTGCCGCGGCTGGAGAAGAGTTTGAGAGGGAAAGTTCTTCCGTTTTTTATTATTACAATGTAGCGGAATAAATACCACTGGCTACATTTGTAGACAAAACTCCGCTCCTGTTTTTGTTTTTCTCTTTTTCCCCTGGAGGATTGTTGCTGGCTGGAAGTCTTTTGTCTTGTTTTTTTTTTTTTCTTCTAACAAAGCCTGCTTAGGCGGAAACATGGCACTGAGGCTTGTGAAGTCAGACAAGCAAATAGGTGGGGGGGATTCCCCCACTAAGAATTTAAAGGAACAAGTTTTAACTCTTCAGTCCCAGAAACCTGATTTTAATATAATAGAATTTCTCTTAGAGGAGATTGAAAGAAGGGATGAGATTGTGAATCAGCAACTTGAAAAATTTATGCAGGAAACTAAGGAATTGGTGAAATCCAAGTTTGACTTTTTGCAGCAAAAAATTTTAAAAGTGTCAGAATTCATGATTCGGTTGGATACAAATACTAATTTACTAGAGTCAAAAATGGATGAAATTCAAGATAAATTGGACAATAGAATTCAAAAAATTGAAAATGATTTGTTAAATATTCAGGATTATAGTTCAGAAGAAAAATTTAAAATGGATGCTGACCAAAAGTCTGGTAATGTAGAAAATCTGCAACAGAGGATTGAAAAAGAGGTTCTAAAGATACAATATAATTTCACAGAATATGCAATAAGACTTAGAGGTTTGCAGGAAAATAACAGAGATGACTTAAGGAAAATATCTTCTGAATTTCTAGCTGGGATTTTAAAGATTCAACCTGAGGAAGTGTTTTGTAGGATTGACAGAGCTTATCGAATAAACTCCTGGACTGCCAAGCAAAGGCAATTGCCTAGAGATGTGGTAATCTATTTTTCAGATAAAGAAATTAGGAATAAAATTGTGCAAAATTCCTTCAATTCTAATTTGCAATTGTATGGAAGAAAGATTTGGATTTACAAGGAACTCCCACCTAAGATATTAATGGAAAGGAAGAAATTTGGCTTTCTGGTGTCTGAGTTAAAAAGGAGAAATATTCAATTCCGGTGGGACGTCCCAGTTGGTATTATATTGAGATATCAAGGAGAAAGATACCAGTTAAATACTGTTGAAAGAGCGGAAGAATTTTATCAAAATAGGTTGAAAATGAATTTAACGTCTTCAGATATAATACAGGATAAGCAGAAGGAGCTGGAACTAAAGACAGAGACTGTACCAGATAAATTGCCTATGGATTTATCGGATACCCCAGCTGGATTATCTACAAATTTGAGAGAAGTGCCATCTGATTTTAATGTGATGACTTATCAAGGCAAGGACAAGCATGGAAACCAATTAGAGGATATACAAGGGATAAAAAAGAAACGCGAGACACAAAAAATTAGGATGGAAGTCAAACCCACAAAAAGAAAACAAAAAAAAGAAATAGGTTGTACAAAAATAGAAATTTCTAACCCAAGCAACAGTGAAGCCAGTGATTTTAAAATATGAATGATTATGTGAAAACATAGAGGAGGCGACATATTGGTCAATATCATCCTGAGGATAGTGGCAGATCTCTGCATTGCCGTAATTTTGGGACATGGAAAGAGCCTCAAATTGATGGTTTTGAATTATCTACTTTGAAACTTCTTTTTGTGTTGATAAATATATTATAATTATCTTGAATTATAAGGCAAGAGAATCACATTGGGACATGCAGAAGATCGGGTTGTTACCCAATACGATGATGGAAATTAATAATCCTGATGAAACCCACAATTATTATTATATGGAATATAATTATAATGTCACTCGGGTGGTTGTTTTTACTTTTATATATATAAGAAGATGTTTACTACTGATGGGGGCAGATATGATTGGAGATCTTGAATAAACTGTTGCATCAGCAAGCTATGTTACCCTATT